TTTTAAGTCACTAAGAGAAAAATTACTTTCCACATGGCAATCATGTGAATCTAGCTAATTTTCCTCAACATACATCATCCACATATGACTTAAATATATGGGAAGACTTGCACAGGTTATGTACACATATTGTCCACTTTAGAGTAGTGAACATGAATATCTGTAGATTTTTATATTTGCAGTGTTCGGGGAAACCAACGCTGCCCTTCCTTGGCAGTAGTATGAAAGTAATCTGTACATGAAACTACTCTAAGCTTTTGGATTCAGAATACAAGCAGAGGTATGTAGCAATTAGATAAATACTCTAAGGAAAGGCAAAGTAAGGGTTAACATAGATAGGTATAGTATGTTAAACCTCTGCTAACAGATAATAGGTATTCTTCTTGGCTGCCTGAACTTTTCAGGAAACAGGCTTATACAGAAATCCTCAGAAGATTACTGCATTTCCACTTTCTAATCCTTTAGAATAAAGCAAGTAGGAAGAGGGTTTGTCATGCCTTCTGCATAATTGCATATGAGTTTATTTTGCCATGGCAGAGCAATTCCAGTTGTCATTGTAGTATGGCATTTGCTTCATTCTAGTGTTGGGGGAATTGAAAAAGCCTTGTTTAACCATGTCAAAACTTGACTTTTCTTACTGTTTTTAAAAGCACTTGCATCTCTAACTTCTTTACCTCTGTCCAGTGCGAGAGATGGAACCCAGACCTGGTCGTACTGACTAAATAGTGTACCCTCAAGTGACACCACAGCCTAGAGCCTCACTCACAGGTGTTTTCACTGCTTTAGCATTGGCCTTGTAGTTCATAATTTTTGCTCCCCCCATACAAATCTTTCTCTTTAAGCAATGTGGTGCCTTTTAGTTGCACATTGCTAACTGTTTTGATTGCGGAATGAAGGTCAATTTTGAAATGAATTTAGTTAGCATAGAAAATATATTCTGACCTTGAACTTTAACAATCTTCACTAACATGATTGTTTTTCTTTTTACTAGATGATGGGAAAAATAGCAAACTTGAGCTCTTTTTTGTGAGTTATCTTGTGTCTATTCCAGATCCCTGGAAGATAGTCATTCATCTTCTACAGAGGAAGAGATGGAGAAACAGTCAGGTGTTCATGGTTGATCTTCACATCCTCCGGCTAGTGAAACATTTGGGCTAGTGTGTGAACAGGTGTTTTAACACAGCTTTGAACCTTGTCTTTTGTTAGGAGTCCCTTATGCCCTCTTCTCCACTCAACAGTCTACCACACTTCTGGAGTACATGTAGTTTTAACACCCTGAATTAAAGGGCTGAATATTTAGGTCAAAAGTTTACCTAAGCTCATAAGTGAAAGAATAACAGTCACTTACAGGTTCTTGCCTAATGTTAGAGGGAAAAGAGGCTTGACCTAAGGGAAGAAAATACTTTCTCAGCTTTGAGAAAAACTATGCTATTTGTTTAATTGGGAGGCTTGGGAATGCAATACAACTTCTCCCTAGTGTCCAGTTCCTCCCTATTAGGGCAGACAAGGCTAATGAATTCTCATAGGCACTTTTGTGGCCCAAGGCTCTTGTGTCTCATTGCCCTTCCCTGCCAATTCACAAAACAAAGTGCCTTATGTGTTCCCTCTGAGAGGAACTTCTAATTGAAAACTAATTTAGTCTTGCTGTGGTTTTCGTTATTATTATTTCTGAGACTTCTCCAGCATAAACCATCTGTCTTGTGTAACATTAGTTCAACTACTAATCAAGTAGAACTTTTTCTCTCTCTCGAGACTTCAGTGTGAACATACATTGAATATCAGTTATATTCTTTACACTTAGCGTTGGGGAAAGGTCAGTAAAACATTGGCTTATCCTTAACTATATGAAATGCTAGGAAAAAAAAGATATAAACAAGTTAACTCTAGGAAGAATCCAGGAGACCCAAAGAGGGTTTGTCAGACACATGGAGAAGTGATGCTAACATTTTGTGTAGAAGCTTATTAAAAGTCAAGAGAAACAACTGGTGAATACATGCATAAAGCACTTGCCTAGCATGCATGAGGCTCTGAGTTTAGTCATTATTACGTGGGGGAAAAGAAGCTAACCAAAAGCAGAAACACAAATAAGTATGCCTATCCTTCATGCAGGAATATAGGGAGGCTTTAAAGAAATCACATTATTGAAGTAAACAGGGAATAAAGGACTATATGGAAAAGCTGGAGAGAGGTGGGCAGCTTGCACACCATATCACTATGCTAGTGAAGACTATGGGCTACAGAAGAAAACAGGCTACATACACCCTGTTCAGATGTCTGCTCCCACAGTAAGTTTGTTTACACCCATTGAAGCCTTCCATATATCTGTCCCCAGGATGAAATCTACTCAGTTTAATAGAAGTAGTGTAGATGAATATAACTTTTGTCTTTTTATTTTTCTCTCTCTTTTTTTAAATGTGATCTCTCATAGCCCTGACTGGTATCAAACTGCAGCCTAGGAGAAGAGGATGTTTTTGAACTCCTGACCCTTCTGCCTTTATCTCATAAGAGGTTAAAGTTACAAATCCATGTCACTATTCCAAATTACACAACGCTGGGACTCTAACTCAAAGTTTCAAGCATGCAGTAAGTAGTCTATCCCCAGCCCTGTGGTAGCTATTCTTTTTGTAGTGTAACAAAAGCCATTTTGTTTACATTGTGAAAATCCAAGTGAGTGAATAGTTTTTAATAAGATCTTTGGCATACACACACACACACACACACACACACACACACACACACACACACAAATTGTTCCCTGCTCCCTGGCTAGCAAATCGTTTTCTTGAGTACAAGGAGATCATGTGTCTGTGGTGGGTTTTTTTTTTGGGGGGGGGAATACCTCAAATTGTGTTTTTCTGTGAGGATTCAAATGGAAGACCTCAGCACACTAGTACCCACCCCATCCCCATTTTTATTACTTTTTTTTTTCTGGTTACCCCATAGATTCACATGATGCTCTGGTTCTGGTCACAGGTAAAATAAGCCCATCTGCACAAACACTTAATTGGAGTCCAGAATTTGGAGACTGCCACATGGATCATCCTAGAAATGGGTGGAAGGAAACTTGGATTGTGATTCTAAGCAGGTAGATAGAATTGTCTAGGAGACTAGTCCCCTTCTTTTGTACAATTTAAATTCTTTGTAAAGCCACTGAGACCCCAGGATTAACTAGTTCATGCCTGAACGGATGCAAAAGATCTTTAGTAAATGTTCTTTATTTATCTTTATTTCTGGAGAAGAATAAATTGGCATGCCCTAAGTACTGGCAGAGTGCATACTACTGAAACAGAAAACAGGCTCAGATATATCTTTGAGAGTTCTTTGGCTCTCAGTGCCCTGTCTCAGCTTTTTCTTCCTCCTTCTTCGAGCCCCCCCCTTTTTTTTTAAATTGTATTTTTCTCTCTGTTTTGTATTCCACAAGTAATATGTGGCTTCCAATTTTGTATTTTTACAAGATTCCTGAGTAAGCATGAGTGGGTCTCTGAATTTGAAAATGTTTCTTGTGCCTTTCCATGGTCTCTTTTTATTTGTTTTGTCCTATTCCACTGTTTTTATATTATTATATCATAGATGTTGTTATTACCCCTTAGAAGCCTGTTTGTTTTCTAATGTGAGACCAAAATTGGATGGTTTCATGTGGGAAGGGAATTGGGAAAAAACTGAAAGGAACAGAGGGAAAATGGTAATCTAAATGTATTATATAAGAAACCTTTTCAGTAAAGAGAAAATTTTCTTGTTTGGGAAATACTGTTTTTTAAAAAGTAGAATTTAGCTAAAAGGTGCCTCTGTGTGACTGAAAAATAAGTATTGTACTCACCAGGATTTTTAGAAAGTGCAAAAACTTTGTACCATAAAGTTTGGAATTGCTAAGAAAATGTCTCACCTAATATTTTTTCACTAACATTGACCTCCAACTCATCTCTTAAGAGAAGGAGGCAAGTCTGACTCTCAGTTATCCTCAAATCATAGAACATGCCTCTAAGGGACAGCTTAAGAGGGCAACACTGGATATCATCATTAAGTCTTGGTCAGCCATTATACTGTTTCAGGAAAAGCATAATTCTGTCAGGTGGGCAGGATGACTGTAACTACCAATTATTTGAAAAGAACAGTAGTATTGTTGTACTTCAAAAGTAATTCTGTTAATATCTTTGCTGTGTCCCACTGGCCAAGCTGTCATACTTATAGACACTATTTCTGTTTAAACTGCTATTTTTAAAATATAACATGGGACTGAGATCTAAAAGAGATATGTGGAATGTGCAACCCTAAGACCTATATTTGCTGGTAAATTTTATTGTTTGAGGATGATTTACTTTTATGTATTAGCCATAGCCAGTGACATGCTACTATTAAAGAGTATTTCCTTTCTTAAACTCTTAAATTCTTGGAGTGATTTCTCACTGGGAAGGCATATTAATTCTATAACACTTTGGCACTGCTTCTAAATCTCAGCCCTTCTCATGACAAGGATTTCTGACAAGAGACCACTATCTTGGTGTGCCCTGTTTTTGGTCTCTGTTGTTTGGATATCCCTTGACTTAATTTTTTTTTTTTTTTACTACTTTTTTTTCTGACTTCTTATTCGTCATAGTTGAGTAGTTCTTAGCAAAGGAGATTTTACTCTGATGGTACTCTAGAGACATTCTGCGTGAATGGCTATAGCATAATGGGAGAAGAGCACCTTTTAATGTCATTAAATAAAGGCTATAAATTGTGTTAAGTAGCTAAATATTGTAGAACACTCAGGGAAGGCTGCACTATGGGGGAAAACAGTGATCTGAAGTCAAATACCTATGCAGTCCTGGTTCATAAACATTACAATAGAGTAATAATTTTTAGAACAGAAAGTAAGAGATCAAGGTGAACAATCCATGTTCATGAAGGCAAACAACTTTTTACCACCACTCCACCCCATTACTGTCAGTAACAAACTATCCAATCCAGAAAAAAAAATGAAAAACTACATCTGGATGAGGCAGCCTTCATAGGTGATGGATTTAGTCTGTGCTTGAATGTTCACTAACATCTGGGAACCATGGTGAAGATAAAACAATGTCTGTGAAAGACAGGTTACAGAGGAAGAAATACATTGGATTCCAGAGATGGAAGTCAGAGCCAATGGCCAGGATGATGAGCAGGTTCCCAATGATGCATACTAAGTAAATGAACAGGAACAGCCCAAATATAAGTGGTTGTATGTAATTTTCTTTTGAAAGTCCCAAAAGGATGAATTCTGAAGTGGCTGTTACGTTTTCTGACTCCATACACTTTACAATTTTTTCTTGGAAAGAAGCAAGCATAGTTACAATGAGAATGTACCATGCATTTCAAAATTTATTCAAGACACATAAAATTTATTCCAAATGGTTTTTTTTTTTTGCTTTTTTGCTTTATTGTGTTTTTTGTTTGTGTTTGTTTGTTTGTTTGCTTGCTTGCTTTTGCTTTACTTCCCAAAACTGCTGTTTCCACCACCAATACTTGTATCCAAGATGGGAAAATAGCAAATTTGAAGCCAGCCTGTACTACATAGGCACTGTCTCAAAAAGAAGATACATACCTTTCTCCCTTTCTTTAGATTTAGGTGACCACATGTAGTCTTTCACTTGCCTTCAGTAGGTCTGTTCAAGATTCATATGACCCATTTTAGCAATAAGATTCTTAACTACATAAGGAATAGTAACTGTTCAAGATTAAGAAACATTGTATACCCAAGCCTCACAAAGACACAACTAAGAAAGAAAACTATAGACCAATATTCCTGATGAACATCGATGCAATCTGAATTCAAGAATACATCAGAGAAATCATCCACCATGACCAAGTAGGCTTCATCCCTGGATTGCAGGGATGGTTTAACATACAAAAATCTATCAACATGATCTACCATATAAACAAACTAAAAAAGAAAAACCATATGATTATCTCCCTAGATGCTGAAAAAGCCTTCGACAAAATTCAACACCCTATCATGATAAAGGTCTTGGAGAGGTCAGGGATAACAGGAACATACCTAAACATAATAAGAGCAATATACAACAAACCAACTGCCAACATCAAACTGAATGGAGAGAGACTTAAGCCAATTCCTCTAAAATCAGGAACAAGACAAGGCTGCCCTCTCTCTCCATATCTCTTCAATATCGTACTGGAAGTTCTAGCTAAAGCTATAAGACAACAAAAGGAGATCAAGGGGATCCAAATTGGAAAGGAAGAAGTCAAACTGTCTCTATTTGCAGATGATATGATAGTTTACATAAGTGACCCAATAAACTCTACCAGGGAACTCCGACAGCTGATAAACATCTTCAACAAACTAGCAGGATACAAGATAAACTCAAAAAAATCAGTAGCCCTACTTTCTGCAGAAGACAAAGAGACAGAAAGAAATCAGAGAAACATCACCCTTTACAATAGCCACAAGCAACATAAAGTATCTTGGTGTAACATTACCAAACTTTACTGTTTTAGTGGTGTACAATGGACATTTGAGTGACCTATTGTTTATCTAGAAGATAAAGCTCACAACACAGGCTATATGACAGGAACATAAGTTTTTAAAAAGTCATTGGAGTTAATGGTCACTCTTGATGTTTCATGATAGGGAAATAAGATAGATTCAGATGAAGGAATCTCTCTAACTGTGTCTAAGTCCTATGATAGTAACAAGTCAAGGGGGAATGCACAACTAGAAAAATTCACCTTTATATTCTTGATAACATTGCTCCCAGGGATCTTAGATTGCCTTCATTACATTAGACAAGCTCACATGATCTCAGAGCAAGAACTCAACATCTCTACTGCTTTCCCAGCCCTAGATTCTCTGTCTATAAAACTGACGACTCATTGGGTAAGTAATGAAAGGAATAGATCACAGCCAAATCAAAACCTGCATGCAGTAAGTGTGCAGCTAGGGTCTAACTACATAGATATTTGTTCATTATAACAAAACAGGAGGAAATAATGCCTCTGTTTTGACCACTCGGTATCAGTTGGGTTCACAGTCCACACAAAAACTATCAGTCCTCAGGAGGCCTGTTGGAATTACTTTTAGGAGGTAGCATAGGACACTGTATGAGGATGGAGATAATCATAGAAGTGTAAAATAGAATGGAGACAGGGAAGATACTGAAAATGAAAAAGGTGAACATGAGGCTATAACAAATATTAGGTAAAAACGAAAAATAAGAGGGGATGCTAGGGTAGGATGATGCCTTCCTATTATTTAATATCTGTGAATATCAACACATTAATGGAGAGATGTATAAGACCTGTGAGATGTTGGCAATGAAAGCTTGCTTTAACATTTAACTTGGTTTGTAGATATTAGAATTATCAAACAATAATCATAAATGCTACCTTTGACATTCAAAAATAAAAGTCAAAATTTACAAACAACCAAGAAACTGTGTTGTACACTCACTAGACATTGTATCCATACCTTCCTCCCTCTGCTGTGCACAGACCACCACAGTATGGTTTTTTAATGGCTGGTGGCTGTCCATCATGCTCCACCAGGCAGGTGAGTTCCAGGTCCTCCTCATATGTATATTTGTTCACCAAGAACCAGCTGGTCCAGTTGTAGGTTCCATCCTTGTTTGCTGTGAGTATAGAAGGCTCTTCTATCTTTAATGCATTGCCATTCTCTAACCAAGGCTCTTTTATTCTTGATGTATTTCCATTTTCTAACCAAATCAACTGAATACTCGAAGGGTAGAACTTATTCACCTGGCAGGTGACATTTATCTGCTTCCGTGTAAGGGATGGTTGCTGGCTGATCTCCACAGCGGGTGCAACTGAAACAGCACAAGCAGAAGCTGAGACAGACAGAACCTAGGCAGACTGATGCCAGAAGAAAAGCTGAAGTATAGAGAAACCATCTCCATTGCAAGTTCATCATGGGGACAGAATGAATATTTGTGCCAGAGTAGAGCCCCTAAACACAGCTCCTAACACATAGGGTCAGAGGGTGAGTATCATAACAAGAGAAATCTATAAGCACAATACGGAGGTGCACTGGGAAAGTGATAACAACAGTAAAATGTATGAAAATACCAGGAATGAGGGGCATGGATCATAATTTGTGTAAGCATTGTTACTTTTGTCAAAGTTAATATAATTTCCTTTATGTGCTGGTCACAATCTATGATTCCCACTTTGTGCATGAATGTTTCCTGAGAACTATGGCCCAAACCATTCTGAATGAGCTTGAGCCTCGGATGACATCAGAGAAGTTGGCAGTCCTATAGAGAGGATTTCCTCGCAAGGTGACATGGGACACCTCACAGGTAATTTGAGAGTGTATATCCCCAGTGCCCAGCATTACTTGGACTGTGCTTGAGAAGAGATATTGTAGGAGGTGCTTTCTCCTTTGGAAATTAGAGAGCTCATTTCTGTCTTTGAACCACTTCAGTGTGATGTTCTGAGGGAAGAAGCCACTGGACTTGCATGGGAAGCTCACTGTCTCCACTGGTACGGATCTAACTGCTGGACCTCAGATTACAGGAGGAGATGGTTTAGCTATAAAGAAGTATGTAGACAAGGGTGTGATTGTGATGCCACCAGTGATGACATGACATTATGAGGAACTTTTTTTTACATATTACCCCCATTGTCATTGTTTTCTGTGGTACTTGGGATCAACACCAGAGTTTCTGCCACACCAAGGACCTGCTTTACTCCAAAGTGATTGCTTTGCCCCAGCCACAGGCATTGTTTATCTTCCTCGAGTTGGAAATTTTTTTGCCAGGGTGTGTCCTGGTCCTTGTTTGGTACCCCTTGTTCTTTTGCCTCCACAGTTGAGCAAAGATCCCCACTAGTTAATGAGGAAGAGCAAGGTCAGCCTGAGTACAGGATGATAATTGTCAACTTGTTTTATATGTTTTATCATTGGTTCCTGCTGGCTTCCTCTGGAAACCTTGCAATTCTAGGGAAATATTAGGAGATGTGGCTTTGTTCAAGTAAGTTTGGCCTTGATAGAGGTAGTATATAAAAGTGGGGGTGGGATTTTAGGTCTCCTTAACTAAAGATATGTTCAGTGTGACACACAGTTCACTTCCTGTTACCTGTGTTTATTCTCCAGCACCATGTCTGCCTAAATACTGTCATGTCTCACCAGGATGATAATGATTCAAACCCAAGAAACTGTAAGCAACCCCAAATGATGTTCTCTTTTATAAGAGTTTCTTCACAGCTACTGAAATCCTGAACAAGGAAGGCCAAGACCATGATGGAGAAATCTACAGAGACTGCTCAACCGAGTTTGTGGAAACTCATGAACTCAGGACCAACAGCTGACAAGGTTCCATGAGACTGAACTATGCCCTCCTTATGTGAGAGACATTTATGAAGCTTGAGCTTCTGAGGGGGCCCTGGCAGTAGGACCAAAATCCATCCCTGGTACATGAGCTAGCTTATTGAAGCAAATTCTCTATGATGGCATGCCATGCTCAGCCCCAACCCAGGGGCCCTGCCCCTACTTAATGTGCCAGACTATGTGAACTCCCCATGAGAGCCCCTACCTGATCTGAGGAGTGGATAGGTGGTGGGCCAGGGGAGAGGTGGGGGGTTGCTGGAGAAGGGGTGGGAGTGAGAAATTTTGTTGGAATGTAAAACCAAAGTTAAATAAAAAATAAACAAACGAATACATAAAATTATAAAAAATGTAAGAAGTTGGGGTAGCTGCTGTGTCTGGTGATGACATTCCCTCTAAAGGATCTGTGGCCATTACCATGTCACAGATGAGGACACTGAGGCTGAAGCAGAGACTCTGTCCTCACTTCCCTGCCATGTCTCACAGGCCATTTCCTGTGCCCTGACCAAGCAACTGTCCCCTTCTGTAACCCTGTCAATGCCTCTGACTCTTTTCTGAAAACCTGACTTGAGGAATTCTAGGCCAAATCCCTGTTCCAGGTGGCTCCAGACAGGAGGTTCTTGTCCCAGGGGCCCAAGGCTCTAGCAGAACATGCCTTTCCTTCTTCCATGGGCAAACCACATTTTCAAGAATGGACTCAGGATGCAGCTCCATTCTGGCTGCTGCTTAGAGAATAAACTACATAGATTTAAATCATGTATGCTCTGTTAGTCTATGATGCAGGATCCTTTGGGAAAATCTTGATTCTCCCTCCCCTGATCATCAGTCAGGTGTCCTCTATGTACTTCAGGCTCTTCTCTAAAAGGAAGAAGTGATCTCTTTCCTATATCACATGCTTAAGAAGAAAATGATATAATGGAGATTGGGCCAAGAACAATGCTATTTTGTTTCCCTCCTTATTCACCACGGGCACCCTTAGGGCAAATGATGTGGCAGATGAAATTTCACTGAAAGGATATAGATTGCATATTCTTGAGACACTTGCTGATTGTTGTTGCCTAGGCATTGCATTACTTCAGTGTCTTTATCTCTGGCATCTATCAAATTAGGATGAAGCCACAATCCATGTCACTCCAGGATATATGCCTACATTGTCCAGAACCTTCAGTGCCTGAGAAAGTTGATTTCTGACCAAACTATTTTCAGGCAGATCTAAGGCAAAGGCCTAGCTTGGTGCCAGCATCTAAACTAGACTACTAATTCCATAGGGAATGTGGGCACATCAAGAATGTTCTCCCTGTGCTGCAGATGAAGATGAAATAAAAACCATGATCAGACCCTGTTACTTTCTACAATATTGTGCTCTTCTTCCTGGAAATGAGGAGAGACACATCTTGGATAAAGAGCTCCTGCTTTCTGGCTTTCTCTCATCTCTGTTAACATGTAGTGTGGAACCTAGCATAGACACAGCCCCATGTTGTTTGAGTACAAAAGGAAGAATTAATCAGTACTGCAAATACACTCTGGGGCAGTATGGCATGTCTAACCCTGTCATTGGACAAGGCAGTCAGTTCTCAGGGTTTTTATGTAGGCTACGACAGATGAAAGATGAGTACTGCTGGGCAGGCAGACAAAGGAATGGATTTACCAGAAAGGGGGCCTCTGTTCTAGCTTCCTTGATCTACTGTTGGGATCATCATCCCATAAATATGAGGGTCACTTTCACACTTGCTTCTTCCTTGTTGCTCACAGAATCTTGGACACATTTTGACCTGTTGGAGACAAGAGGGATGAGGAGGAAAATGCAGTACTCACCAAGCACAGACAACACTGTGCCTCCCCCAGACTGAAGCTCCTTTTCAGCTTCTGCTCTGCTGAACTTCACACAGTAGTAGACGCCAGCACCACCAGGTGTGACATCACTGATGTGGATGGAAAAGTCCACGGTTTTACTCTCTGTAACATCTGCAGCAGTTGTAATTCTAGGGAACTTATCTCCCGTAAAACTATATATTAGGTGCCGACTCTGCCCTGTACCCTTGAACCACTTAATGGGCCCCATAGGATACACTGAGGTCATAGTGCAGTTCAGAGTGACTGAATCTCCAGCAGCCACAGAAACAGACTTCTGAGGCTGAATCATCTTCAGCTCCTGTGTAGTTTCTCCTGCAGAAAACATCAGTTAGTGCTCATCATGATGGAAACGCACAGGCTGCTCTAGTTTGTGATGAAATACTGTTCCTTACTAGAGCATAGCATGCACATGCTCACAGTTACCTTTTCTTTGGCCTTTAGCATAAGGGTTTAACACAGATGAGGAGACTGAACACAGGCACACTGGGAAATTGTTGTGATTCTGATAGAATCCTCTATTATGTTTGAAAATTATCGTGCTTCATCCAGTATGTTTTTGTTTTTTATTTTATTTGCACAGGGCATGAGGCATTTCATGTGTAATAGTATTGTATGTGATGACCTGACTCTTTTAAACTAGTGAGGTGTGAGTTTAAGTGCTTTGTATGTTTAGTGAGATGTACGTTTGATTACAAGATTCTCTGGGCCAGGCTCATAGCTCACAATGGGATATGCTTTATCGGGTGAATTGATAACACAGATAAATCCCAATCAAAAATAACATGCACCTTAATTAGAGAAATACAATCTTGGTGTAAGTTATCAGTTTTTAAAAAACATAATAACCACATTAATTAATTTCATGTGTGTTGTTATTTTGCTTTTGTGCATGTCTGGTGGCCAAGGAACCAGATCCCCTGGATCTAAAGTTACTGAAGATAGTTGTGAGTCACCATGTTGTTCTTAGAACTCAACCTTGTTCCCATGGAAGATAGGCAAGTGGTCTTACTCCCTGAACCATCTATTCAGACCCAGCATTATATTGTACTGGCATCTTGCATTACCAGAGAATTTGTGATGGAGGCCACACCCTTTTGGCATGGTTTCAGGTACAGACATGACTCATTATATTCAGTCAATGTCATCTCCTGGGCTAGGTATGGTGTCCAAACCTCAAACTAAGCACAGAGGAAGGTGAGGCAGGCAGATATCTGATTTGCAGGCAAGCCTGGTGTATTTAGTGAGTTCCAGAAAGGCTGGAGATACTGACAGACACTGTGTCAACAAACAAACAAAACAACAACAACACAACAAAATTGCTTCAAGGATGTGCCTAGTGATGCAGGTGGAATACCAATACTAAGGAGCAGACCATTCTTGGAATAAAAGTGCTAGCACCTTAATTGGGTTCATAGAACCCATGATAGAAGAGAAAAGACCCTGCATTTGTTGTCTGACCTTCACATACACACCCAGGACCATCCCCTCACTCATTTATAAGTAATTAAGTAAGTATTCAAGGGTCCCAGAACAGAAATGTGCTCTCCATTTTTCCATTCATGTTTACACAAAATCATGTGTAAACATGATCCAAATCCACTTGGAATCTAGCATTGAGGAGACAAAGACAGGAGGAACTCTGAGTTCAAGGTCAGCCTGGCTGTGGATAGCTAAGAGGTACACAATCTGTGAACAAATGAAAGTAAGCAAAGGGAGTGGCTCAATTAAAAGGTGGAATCTAAAGATGGTGTTTTGGCGACATCTAATGGCCAATCGGTCTTCATGCATTTCTCATGGTGAAATAAAGTGGTTCACAGATGACTGGAATGTTATCTAACTTCTGTCCTTTTAGTCAAATGTCATTGGTCAATAATAATAAAAAGGACAACCTTATAATGGTCAACAGAGCAAGTTTAGGATGCCCCGTGCTACACAGAGAAACCCTGTCTTGAAAACAAATCAAAACAAAAACAAAAACCCAGGAAATAGGCATGGTGGCGCAGCCATAGTTATGTCTCGAGTGAGTCAAGGTTACAGGACTTATGCTTTGTTTATTTATTTATATTTTAATTTAAATACATGGTGTAACTCTGTACTCCTCTTCCAAGATAGGTGAGGCCATCTTCTGGACTCTGCTCACCCCTGGCATGCATGTGGTACACCCACTAATACAAACAGACAAAATAGTCAGACACAAAATAATAAAGTGAAGGGAGAGAGAGGGAGGGAGAGAAAGCACAGATGGAGCACACACCTAAGTTTCAACCAACTTACAAAATCATTCATTGGGCAGAAAATCCAGGATTCCTCTTTATTTAACCAGAGTCACAAAATGTCAGAATCAGGCAGCCATCATAATTACCTGCAACCAGTTACCATAGAAATGACTTCATTTGCATGGATAGAATTGCTTGATGGGAAATAGTACGTAAAGTTGCTCACCATAACTGAAACAGAAGTCCTTCTTCATGGATTGTTAGAGAAAAGCAGAGTCAATATAAACTAGTTCTTGTTGAACATTTTATGCTATAAAGATTTTTAGCAACAGCTTTGTTTAGTGTATTACAGTGGTTAGCTCTCATCCCAAGCTTTTATTTGCTTTTCCCCCTAAGAATAGGGCATTTCTTCTTATATGCTTTGGTAGGTCTTGTACTCTCTGTTGGCCAGGTTGGCCTAGAACTCACAGTGAGACAACTGTCTCCTAGCTGCTGTGGAATTAGATGTATGTGGTACCACTCTCTACCTGTTTTAGTAGTAGTATGCTCTGGATTCCAAAATATCCTGTGAGAGTCATGTGGTTTATTCCTATACATGTAGTACCCTTGTTTTTTTTTTTTTTTTTTTTTTTTTTTCTGAAAACGGGTGTACTTTGTGTATCCATGGCTGTCCTCTGTCGACTAGATGTGGCTGAAAGTCAGAAGTCTGCCTGTTGAAGTCAGGACCCCCTGTATCTGGAGTTAAAGACAGTTGTGATTGTCATGCCATATAGTTGGTGGGATTTGAACCCTGGTAATCCAGTGCTGTTAATCACCAGGTGTTTAGATTTTTATATTAAAGTTTTCATCACTTTTATTCTTATTTGCCTGGTTTCTTGTGTTTCTAAGTTTGCCATGAATGTTCTCTTGGACTGAAAAAAATTAGTTTTATACTATGTACACAGAAAAGATGCAAACTATAATATTTGCAATGACATGTTCATCTTGATTACCAACTGCTGAAAATTTATTTTGGAACAAGTTTCTTTTTTGTATATTTAGCCTGGAGCTATTTACATAGACCAGGATGTTCTCCCTGATATCTGCCTGCCTCTGTCCTCCTCTTGGAGTTCTCCAAATAATAGTGGGCACCACCATAGCAGGCAGCTTCTTCCTGGTGTCCTATAACCACAAATAATCATTTTCCTAATAGCTTATTATAAAATATACCATTTGTGTGTGGGGTTCAGGCTAATGACTGAATGTTTAGCATGACATCTGACATGGCTTATAAAGTAAGAACAGCTGGGCATTTGGAGAACAGTGTCCCATTGCACTAGACAGAAAACACTGGCCTGAGTTATCCAATGATATTCAGTGATCTGGATATCCTACTATTATCATTGGTCTGAAAGACCTTTAGACTTTTGATACTTAAAAGGGTGAGCATAAATCTCAACAGAGAGCATGTGTGCCCTTCCATTATTACTAAGGCTGGGAAACATAGGGACTAAGGCAAATGTGGGAGAAGACACTGATCAGGTGCGACAAATTATTACTTCCACAAGGTGGCACCCTACACCTGGTATGCATGTCCTCATTTCTGCAGGACAAGTACATGATGAACTTAGGCCAGAAGATGGTGCAGCAACACTACACTTCTGTTTCCTTGCATTATATTTTGATCATAATCTCCCACTCCCCCAACCAATAGCATAGAAAAACTCAATAATATTGGTCTAAAAGAACAAAAAATAGAGAAACATATTGAAAATGACTTCTAATGATATTTTGATATACTCATAGATCAATTCCTTAGCAAATGGGAACACAGAGATTTATGTAACTGTCAATACCAGACTAACCTTTTATTTTAAATATTGTGTTAATCCACTATTATATAACTATTTTTATTTAAATTGTTATATGAGATAATTTTATTCCTTAAAAGGTGTCTCAAATTCAGTCAGAGGTGAGGGCTTCAAGCCTCAAGTAGCTAACTTTGTGTGACTTAATTGTAAATATTCACAGAACTATTAGACTCCTCTTTTAAAGCCAGAGAAGGACTGGGCAGATTCTTTCATTGGGACATCTGTAAATGTACATAAGACTTCTATAAATCAGATCTGACCCTGTAAAGCAGGCTGGCCTTTGCTTGTCTCTTCCTCCCATGTGCTGGGATTAAAGGCACACAGCACTGCTACCCAGCCTGAAGTTATATTTTAGGTGCAGGATATTTCTTGAGTAGGCAAATGTTCAAGCAGATAACACATTTATTCACATTTACTCAACTCTTAATCTGAATTTTTTTTTAATGGTTATGGGACAGGGATGGAGCATGATTTTTTTTTTGTCCAGCTTTGGGTGTCCTGACATGACACCATTTCATGTCATATCATCACTTCATTTCATTTTATCACATTCAATTACATTTTATTGTACTTGACTGCATCATCCAATGTCATTCCATGAAACTTTATTTCAACTCATTATTAATTCTTCTCAACCTCTTATTCCATTTCATCATTATGCCAATGTTTCATTTTGTTATTTTGCATGCTTTAAATTAATTTCACTTGCAGCCTTCCATTTCATTTGCTATATATCATCTATTTTTAACATGAAATTACGCAATTAATTTCCTTCGTGGATTCATTTCATTTCATTATTTCATAAAGTCGTCATTTCCTTTGTTTTTTTTTTGTTTGTTTGTTTTTGTTGTTGCATTTCAGTTCATTACCACATCACTCTGCTTTGTCTAAATTCCTTCATGGATTCATCACAGCATCACTCTGTTTTGCCTCTTTTCATCATCTCATCGATTATCGTATTTTTTATTACTTTTCATAATGTTAGATTTCATGTATTATATCACATTTCATAATTTCACTTCTAATTTCATGTATTATATCTCATTTGATAATTTCACTTCTTTGTATTGTGTTTCATCTTATTTTGTTTTCACACAATTTAATTTTATTTTGTTATTCCATGTTACATTTTGCCAGGCTGCTGTCAGTTCTTCTTACACAGTTTCTACTGTCATTTCTTTTTATACAGTTTCTCAGTGATAATTTTTTAATCTTATAACAGCACAAAAGGTCAGGCATAGTTAGCAATTTGGGTAGAAGAGGCAGAACCAGCTAGAGCCAGGCTGCTGTAAAATCTTCCACAGTTTCTCGGCGGTAAATTTTCTCTTTCTTAAATTTAGAACATCAGAGTTCACTTAACAGTTTGGATAGAGTGAGACAGAGCCTGCCCTAGTGCCTGCTGCCCCTATTTATAGTTTCGCCAGCCATTTGACTCTGCTATCACTGGCTGCTCCAGGGTGAGCCCAGCCCCAGCAGGAGGTGCTCTGCTGTCAGTCATTGGCTGCCCCAGGGAGAGCCCCGCCCCAGGGGGCGGTGTCTAAGGCCGATGACAAACCCTGGAAGGAAAGATTTAATCATGTAGGCCTGAGAGCCCGATATCAAGTGTAGCTGCTCAAAAGAAAAGGGTGGATTCACACACCCTCCCTCCACTACCCATACAGGGTAGTCTGGAATCAGGCTGGCTTGTATCACAGTGCATTTTCTCTTATTTGGTTGCAATACCATTTAATTTTACTTTTTTATTTCACGCTATTTCATTATTTACACTTCATTTTAAGTTTATTTTACTAATTTCATCTCATCTTCACTTTTGTCACTTCACTTAATTACTTTTTGTCCTATCGACTTATTCCAGTACATTATTTCACTTCATATCTCCTCCTCGTTTTTCATCTAATTTATATTACATTGTGTTTGACTACATGACATTACATATTATACACACACACACACACACATATCACCTCAACATTTTAAATTTTTCATCCCATGTCATTCATTACACTATTCCATTTATTCCATTTTATTTTCATTACATTATAAGCAAAGTAGAATTCATTAATTTTTTTCTTTTCATCTTTCTTTCAGTTGTTTAACTCCCAAGATTTTGTTGCATTTTCTTGATTTCATTTCATTACAATTCAATCCAATTTGTTACATTAAATTATTCACATTTTATTTTCGTTTTGTTTCAGTATTTTTTAAAAAATCGGTATATTTCATTTACTTCATTTTGTCATTTTTTAGCTTCTTTTTGTTGTTTCATTTCATTATTTTTGTATTACATTGGAATAATCTGATGAAATTACATTTCACTCTATTATATAATATTTCATGTATTATTTGTCATCTATATTGTATTGCATTCCATCTTTAATTTTATACCACCAGTTCATTTTATTTTATAATATATTTCCATTATCACATTTTCCTTATTTATCTCAATAGATATATAATATACCTTTCATCACTTATTTTCACCATTTCATGTCATATCTGTTCAATTCAGAGTATTTTATATCATCCTTTCTTTACAAGTTCACTTTAAAATTGGGTAGTGGGTCAAAGGTTGAGACAGTAAAGCATGCTACCTTATACACAGGAGTTCCCAGACCAGCCATGGTATCATCACAAGAACTAAAAAAAATTTAAAAGCTTGGGTAAGCAGTTTAGATGTCTGTCAGGCAAAGAGCCAAACCTCCACATCCTTCTTTTACTCGCAATTGCATTTTGACAAAGGCAGATAAATAAGAGAAATATGTTCCACTACAGACATGCAAACTTCATAAATCCACTTTACAGCTTTCTTCCAATGCTTTAAATTCAGTGATGTCTACTCGGTTAATTATTGGCTACTAAGCTATTGCATCTATAACAAAAATAATTAGGGATTAATCTTTCCGAGGTGTAAATAATCCCAAGTCAAAGGCTAAAGTGCATGTAAAATAGGTGACAGCAGTCACTGCTGTGGCAGAAGAGGCTGCATACACTGTGTCACTCAAGAGGCAGTCAGCTGGGTCTCCTATTGCTAATTGAGAGATATGAGTGCTGAAACCATCATTGGATCCAGCGGCTCACTCCAAGATCAAGGAGGACTTTGATAAAGTGTGTCAGAGCACTGGCTGGGAGTGTGCTCCAGAAAGAACTGGTGGAAAAGAATTGGAGAGAGGAGGCACCTCCTGAGTGGTTTGCTTTTTAGGGCAGGAGAGGTTGGGTGGCTGTCGAGGGAAGTGGGGAAATCATCAGAAACCACAACACAAGGGGAATACCTTTCCCAGAGCTGAAGGGCTGGTCTCTTTTGAGTGGAATGAAATGGAGAGGTCAAGGAGTCCAGGAATTATGTGCTCTGTGTGTGTGTGTGTGTGTGTGTGTGTGTGTGTGTGTGTGTGTATCCCCACTCATTTCATCATCTCATTTCAATCCAGCAGGAGAGATGGCTCTGGGTAGGGTGAGGGGAAATAAAGAATTGTTTGGGGGCAGGTGCAACTGGAGGCATTTGGGATTTATTGCCTATGTTTACTGATCTTCAGCTGTGCATGGGAACTTTAAGTGAACTCAAGTTCTCACAGCTGAATTCTCAGCACCACCTTGCAGTGCAACCAGGCTTTACAGGGGTGAATGCTGGGACCTGTAGTTCAGAGCCTCCCTCCCTGTGTGCACGATCAGGGCTGTGGCTTGCAGTGCCTTTTGCGCCTGTGCAGCAGAGGTCAGTGTGGTGGGGGGAGGTGGGTCCTGAGAGCAGTGATGCACCACAAGCCCTTTCCCCTTTCCCGCCTGCCCAGCTCCTTGCTTTTCCTCCCCATACCACAGCTGCGGAGATGATGAGCAAGTACCTAAAATGACTGCAGAAAACCCTATTATGTTTAAAAATCCCCGTTAGTAGAATGGTGTAGGAAACTCATGGTCGGTGATGCAGCAGTTTAATTAGAGTGAATTAATAAATCCATGTTTAATCTGAGCAAAGTATTCCTGTGTGACCCAATGAGAACAGGAGATCAGGAATCAGGTTATTCAAAAGTGGGGGCTTTTAGCGCCCCTGGAGGTGGAGCCTCAAATGGCGGGCTTTTTAAGGGTGGAGTCTAAGTTGAGGTGAATCCAGGGGAGGGCCCGCCCCTCCTGCTCACCTGGTGCTGTCTCTCAGGCTTCACTAGCCAATCAGAGCCCCTGTCTTACCTGCCAGTCAGATGGGAGGGTTCTTCCGGGAGACAGGCTTTCGCCTCAGCTTCACCTGAGGAAGTCAGTTGTGCCTTTGCTTCTGTGAAGAGTGCTGGCCAGCTCTGCAGCCTCTCCAAGCTGAGCGAGTGGCCGCCCTTCACAGAGGAGGAGCGCTGCACTTAAATGAGCGAGGGGCTGCTCTTCACAGACCGTGAGGAGCGGTGGCAGAGGTGCCTGACGGGCCGCTGTCCTTCACAGGTGAGCGGTGGGCTGAGGTGAGCGTGGCCGCTGCCCCCATGTGGGGAGAGTGGCTGGCTTTGAGTGAGGACTGCTGTCTCCATGCTTGGCGGCGTGTCCAGTCACAGTGACGTGGGCTTCTCTCCACATGTGGGGGCGAGTGGCTGCTCATGGTGAGTGGGGGCGCTGTCCCCATGTGGGGAGAGTGGCTGGCTTTGAGTCAGAACTGCTGCCTCCATGCTTGGGGGAGTGTTTTGTCAGTGACTGCGGGGCTGCTGTCCCCATGTAGGGAGTGAGTGGCTGCTCATGGTGAGTGGGGGCGCTGTCCCCAGAATTGGTGGAGTGTCCGGCTGAGGCTCTTAAGCCAGTGTGTTTGGTTCTCCCTGGGCTGGGTGGGAGCCGCTCACCACATTCCTGTCTGGTCCTGCTTTGTCCAGCATGGTTCTGTATAGCCCACGGTGACCAGGTTGGCAGCCTCTGAATAACTTTACTTCCCCGGGCAGTATCTGCCCAGACGGTTGGGACCTGGACTGTGTTTAGAAATATTCAAGTGTGGTGGTTTTTTGTGCTTTAAAGGTTGCACGTGTCTTTAATCACAGCACTTAAGAGGCAGAGGCAGGTGGGTATCTGTGACTTCTATACAGTTTTAGGTCAGGCTGCAAAGCTACACGGAGAAACCCTGTCTCAAAAAACCAAACTACCAAAAACAAAGTTGCCTGAAGGTCAGAGTGTGGAGCTAGGGAGTAGTTATCTGAAGATAAAGCTGTGGTGGTGCACACCTTTAATCCCAACCCTTGGGAGGCAGAAGCAGGTGGATCTCTGTGAGTTCAAGGCCATCTTTATGAAACAGACAGGTGGTGGTGGTTCAAACCTTTATCCCAGTGCTTTGGAGGTGGAGACAGGAGTAATATTGCTGGGCGGAGAGAGAAATATAAGGCAGGATGAAATGGAACCTCATTGTGTTCATTCTGAAGATTCACAGGGAAAGGATCACCCCTTTGATTTGAGGATTCAGTAGAGGTAAGAAGTAGGTGCTGTTTGCTCTGCTTCTCTGATCTTTCGCCATTAAGCCCTATATCTTACTGCAGGTTTTTATTATTAGGACCAATTAGAATTACCACAACAATCTCCTGTGTAGAGTATTGTGCCATAGCTAATCTGTGATGTAGAGTAGTAGAATTGATGGTACAAGTAAGGATTTACCACTTCTTAGGAGACATTAAGTCACACAAAGTAGAATTTAGGTGAGAGGGTTGTATCTCAAGTAACCCAATGATAAGCATGGTTACCACACCTGCTAGAGATTAGTGTGATAAGATGTAAATGTTTGTTCACCAGGATTAATCAGCCTTTACATTCCCATAACAAAAGAGACAACCCTGACTTAAAAACACCCATAATGTCCACCTCCTCATCAAAGGCCTCTAACATGCTGCTCAATGGGACATTGCAAGGTCACAACCAATATTAAGTCCCAGTGTGCCATAAAGTTATATTCTATAACAGTGGCTTCTCCCTTCTTTTTGAAATGTGGTTTTAAGAAAAGTCTCCTATATTAATTGAGGTGGACTTAAACCCTGTCTGTATACCCACAGTGCATTGCCCTTGTTTTCCTCCTGATTAAACACCCTAAATTCTTGCATTACAGGTCTGCAGCACCACAGAGTTCTGCAACTTCCAGTTTGGAGTCAAATAGTGGGCTGTCTAGTGCAGTAACAGGAAAAGGATTTGTGTGTGGAGCATGGCTTCTCCCTTCAGACCATAAGAGGAGGAACAGTGTGCTTGGTACACTGCAGGGGAAACAGACTAAACAATACAGGGTCCTGTGTACACTGCAGGGGAAAACAGTAGACAGTGGGTATAGCACAGACTGAAGTCTAAGGCAATGAGCTGCAGGAGGGGTCTCCATCATAAAGAAGTGCCTGATAGGGCAGGGTGAGTGACTGAATTTTCCTTCATTTATTAATTCCTTCCATGTTTATGAAGACAGACAGAACTGGTGGGTGGAGAGTTTAGGGAGGATAGCTTGAACTACTAAATATTAATTTCCAATTAGCCAACTCTTCTTTGCTGATATGTGCAATCCTGGTTTACACAGTAAAGTCAGCCCAGAGGTTTGAGACACAGGCCATTGGCTGTAACGTAACTCCATGTGTCAGCTTACAGCACTCAGAAAGCTAACATTTCCCATGGGACAAAGTCATATAGTGTTTTATTAATGGTATTTTTCCTACCAGGAAGTGTCTACTCTGTTTCAAAGTCAGTATAGCTAAGGGTTCTTTCAGTTCTTATCTCTTTTAAAAAATCAATTATTGATAACATCTTTTAAATTTCATTTTCTTTAAATACATCACTGCCATCATCCCTTTGTGTCTGTTTTCCATTTTTTCCTGGTTTAAGAATTTCATTCCCTTTTTTCTTAATTTTATTTATTTATTGATTTATATGTATCAGTTTAGAGCAGCAACTCTTAACCTGTGTGGTCACAGCTTCTTTTGTGGGAATCAATGACCCTATCACAGGAATGGCCTAAGACCACTGTAAAACACAGATGTTCATGTTATATTATATAATATTATATTATGAAGTCACCTGAAAATAATTTTATGGTTGGGGATCACCTCGTCATGAGGAGCTTTATTAAAGAGCCACAGTATTCGGAAGGTTGAGAACCACTCAGGCTTGCCTCACACTATGTAATTGAGAATTGCTTTTAATAAGTACTTCTGCTTCTGCTGTCCAGGCTGGGCCTTGACTTGCCTCTGGGAAGGAAAAATAACCAGTAAATGAATGTCCTCCAAGTTCTCTAGATTTCATTGTGAATTTACAAATGAAGTGGGAACTTGTGTAAGGATTTCATTCACCAAATATAAAGCAGGTGTAGTCGGCACAGAAAGTCAGTGGCAAGACGAAGGTAAGAAAGATTTCCTTTTCATGCTGTGACACTACTTCACATTAGCCATGTGTTGTCGGGTAATCAATTTTAGATATTCCATAAATGTCCTGACTGGCCATTTCTTAGTAGAGCTGATCAGGCAATCAAGAATCTAGAGAAAGAACAGAACTTACCATGAAACAAAATTACTGTAGTTACACCATTTCTACATTAATATGAGAACTGGATACAATGGTGTTGCTGTGCCTAACATGACTGTGTTTTCCAGGTTTAAGATGGTAGCCCTGAGAGAAATAGTGTGAGTAGTATTTGTTATGCTCTAATACAAATTCCTAGTCTCTGTAGCACATGGCCATAAAGCCTGTTTCAACTTTTAAACATAATTTTTGTAATTATAATTACATTATTTCCACTGTCTCTTTCCTGCCCTAAGGCCTCCCATAGCCCCTTCCTTGTGTTCTCATCCATGGCCTCTTTTTGTTTAACAACAGAAACCGTTTGAATGTGACCTGTGTTTGGTTACAGGACCTTCCAGTTATGAAGCAAAGGGCTGGCTGTGCTGTACATTGAGTGTGTAATTCAATGTGCACACATAGGACCCTGTTTCTTGGTAGAGAAACAGGAAATCCTCTGTGAGATTGGAGGATTTTTCTGAAGTATAAATTTTCCAGATAAGGACCCTATCTGACTGTAGTGCAGAAGGACAAAGTTGGGAGGACCTGTGTGGGCTGTGTTATTTGATCTCTGCTCACCCACCCAGTAGGGTAATTGCAAGGACATCTTAACCAATGAGGAGCTTTGTGAAGGGTTAGCCATCAGGAGCACCAATGGGAGGTAGCTTACAGGTTCTTTCCAGATTCTCCTCTTGTGCTGCATTGGGAAGCTATAAGAAAGACCATAAGCCATGTCATGTTGAGTTTGGGGCCGCAGTCCCCAGATCAGAAAGAGCATGTTGGCTTAGCTATCAGAATCTGAACTGCTTGGACTGGGATGGACCATGAGCCAGATTGAGATTCTGTTGGTTCCTGTGTTGACTAGGGTAGTGGCCCTTGGCCTCTGAGCTATGTTGAGTGTGGATTCCCTGAGGTAGGGGAGGCTCTGCCATCCTGGCATGGGAGACTATGAGCTTGTAATAGGCATTGATATTGTTGTGCAATGGGAAGACAGATTGGAAAGCTGAAGGTCTGGTTCTAGAAGTTCTGAATATTATATCTCACTTTCAGTTTTTTTGTACACATGTAGTAGTTTCTGAGCTGTAGAAGTATGTCAGGTTAGCATAGTATTTTGCAGGTGAATATGGAAGATGCCACATCTTGTGACATAATCATTGTGTCAGGAAGCAGACATTATATTATTCTTCACATTGTTTTTAGATTGGACATTGGCTGGGTTTGCCTGAAACTACAAGGGGGCATGAGGGACTTCAGAGCCATAGTAGGCTCTGCAGGAGATGACTTACATTTGCTGGGCAGGTTCTAGAGTATGGCACCTCTCTGCAAGAAACATCTGTTGCTGGAGGGTCAGAAAATTAACAGTTTACAGTGAGTTTTAAATATATTTTTGAGTTTTGAAATCTGTATTTCTTTAATTTCTGTACACATAGAATCATAGGTAGCTGTGTTTGGCCAAGTTTCCTTTGATCTTTTGGTTAAAAGTTTATTTTCCTGCTTTTGTTCTTGCCTTTTTTTTTTTCCATCCTCTATTTTACACATATTGTACACATTCATTATTGTAGCCTTCATGGTAAATATAGAAATCATTGTGTCAATGAGTGTACTTTTTTCTTTTGCATGCAGTTTGCAATCAACTTTTCTCGTATAAATTACATTGTTGGGCATTGTCTTTGGATATTGATGTATCATGTTCCCTAAATCATTTATATGTATTATTTATGTGTGTATTGTCATTGGATCCTTTGTAGTAAGAAGCTCAAAACTGACCTTCGTCTTGGGAATGAAGTTTTAACTGCTTGGCAATATCTCTAGCCCTATAGTATTGTAAACCTTTATATGTCATCTTGACATTAGGAAATAGAGGAGAATGAGAAAAATCCTATTCATATATACAGTATGGTAAAGATTTTACATATTACAGTTTACTTCAGTTTCAGTGAAAAATCTGTTTTATCTATTTCATTATAGCCTTGAAGCAAGTATATTGTTTAC